ATATCCATAGAATATAACACCAAATATAGTCTAATAACGCTCAATCATATCCATAAATGTAATTATTGAAACATCGGCACTGTCAGACAGATATTTATAATAAATCAAGTATATCTGGAACTCTCATACGAACACCAATAACAATTTAAACTGGAAAATCAAATTAGGAAATGTGCCAAACCTCTCACTTCAATTCAAATTGTGTTGGAAATTATCAGTTTTAATATCATCTAAGGGTAGGGGTGTCACTCATGGTATTACATCGATGAGTCTTGATAAAACACAGAGCTTATTGAGTAAAGATTTCGAGTAAAACCCGCGATCTGTTTTCATTAAGGGTTATACGTTGGGTCAGCTGGCACGAGAGACTAATTTGTTTTCACTTTGAATGTAATTATGAATGTTTGTCTTGTCATGGTTCCATGACAAGTTCCATTATGACTAAATTGCTTCACATGAAATCATTGGTGGATCTGCTATAGTTTATCTGTTCATGTGTCTGAATTGAATTCTAATTAATGAAACGAAGTAACCCTAGAAACTAACGAACCGATGGTGTTTGCATTTGTATGGCGCTAAGTTGAATGCGAAAGAACCAAAAACCCCAACCGATTCGAATTTACCAAAAAATCAGGGCAAACTTTAAATCTCCTAAAATCTCGTAAGAACGAGATTCCAAAGCTAAACAGTACTAGAACGCCTCTATCAAATCGTTGTTACACAAATGATCTCCAAATGTACAAAATCCGATAAAAAAAATAGGGAAATTGAAAATACTTAAAAATGAAATAAAAGACAAGACACTCGCGCCACTCTAAGTTTTGACCACCGGTTCGATGCCAACTTTTCTTAGTATAGTAACAATGCGTAATAAAAGCTATGAATCAATTAAAATGCAATTACAGATGAACCATCATCTGAATAATTAGGTATGTTCTACAGTCTGTCATTGACAGCTGATTGGTCAATATATGACACGTGACCGAAAACAATATCTTTGAATATATTTATTTTATTTGATTTAGTAAAACTGCCAATTCAATAAGTGACCAATTGTCAAAAGGAATTCAACCAAATTTTTAGATAGGAATTGATTTTGTGTTAATTGATATGGTGTGGAGTATGTTGGACTTCTATAACGCTCTATTTATTCTCGTCATTATTAGCTCCATTCATTGAGAATGTACAATTACTTGGATATTGTAGTGGTATAATGCATTGTATGTGTTTGCATATTGTACAATGGAGTTTCTAAAGTTACCCTGTTATAAATGGAAGCTTTAGACTGCTAATCAAATCTAACATGATTATATTCTAAATGGTAGGACGTCTAGAGACATTCTTTATTAGATCTTGATAAATTGTGACTTGTATTTTCTGAAAGAAGACTTGGCATCTATGAATATCGAGAAAAATTGTGTATTTCGCTAAACTATACCTTTAGTCAATATGAAAATACCAATTGCGATAGATTAATCCCGCTTCTTTAACCCTTTCCCGACGTGAATATAAGAGGAAAATGTTGGCCCTGGTGACGGATAAGTAAGAGCAGTTTTTAGGGGAAAACTGCAAAATACCTACGCCCTGGGACCTATACCCTGAATTTTATCACTGAAATACAATTTTTAGTAAGGATTATCACATTAGAACAACTTGTCAAAATTTGGTGTAAAAAGACTAAATAGAACTGGAGATATTGTCATTTCATTGATGTATATAGATAAAAATAATGGTGCCAAAAGGAGCCTATCGTCCTGAAAGGTATTACATTATAGGGCTCCATATGGAGCCTATCGTCGTGAAAGGGTTAAAGTTAAGTTTCATCTATGGATATCGAGAAAAATACATGGTCTATTTTTATTCATCATGGAAATATAATTTTTTTAATAGTTTTAATCCACTTCTCTAAAAGAGAGGTTCATCTACATTCTTTGGATTGGGGATATTCCTTGATTAAACTTAACATAACCAGGTTAAGATAATAAAAATGTAGCCACCCAATCTGAATAGACGCGACGAGACTTGAAATCATATACAGTAGATGGACGTTTTTAATGAACTGTTCAAGTGAGAACAGAACAACAAGCGTGACGTTCGTAGTTCTAACGCATTATCATCATCCGGGGTTTTCAAAACTGAATTTGTTTACTCTTGTCGGCAGCAACACAAATATATTTCCTATGGGGAGGATAGATATGAAAGTTATTTAATAGACATGGAAAGTTATTAATTATTTAAAATGCCGAAATTGAAACAATACTTCAGGATGAAATTACTGTAGTTCAGAATGAATTTACTGTATTTCAGCATAGCTGAATTTACTGTATTTTAGGATGAATTAACTGTATTTCAGGATGAAGTCACTGTATTTCAGGATGAAAAAAACTGTATTCCAGGATGAATTTACTGAATCTCGTCTTCATTACTTTAACTTTATTCTCAAATTCTCCACCAGACAAACGATTTGATTAGTACCCTTTAAGCTAAAGCATCCCAGAATTGACAATCACATAAAATCACGCAACTGTCAGCTTGGAATATCTCAACACCGTCTCGAGTGATGTTTTAAACTTCACTTGACATTTTAAATAGTCTTAGAAGCACTATGTTACTGTCACGAGGGTGCTTATGGGGTTTATATTTAAATGGCAGGATGTAGTTCGCATCTGTATGAATCGATTCTTCTCTTTTAGTGCATTGATAATGGTCGGAAACAATATTCTTTGGAAGTAAAATGTTGTGTCGGATTTTATAAGCTTCCTCTGTATGAATAAGTCTACACTTAGAGCTATATGGTTGTTTATTCTAGCGCAAGTTGAAATTATTTTCTGCTCTTGCTCGGTAAAAGCTGTCAACGTGTAGGATTTAGTTGTCAATATGAGTTCTTCTCATTTACTCGCCTATAAATGTTCTATACTACGAGTATCCAAACAGGTGCCTGTTAGTCAGAGCTGATTTTCTATCCGGTACGGTGTCTGCCAAAAAAAACAACTACTGCAAAGTGTTCCTACTATGTGCTCTACACTGGACTATGCTTCACTTTCAAGGCAACAGAGGCTTTCACTTAGAAAATTAAGATTTTAACAAATATTTATTAATGACTCAACATGAGGATATACACTGTTGACTTAAAATGGGGATATCATCATATTCCAAAGCCATCATAGATATTAATTTGGGTAAAGTTGTTGTCACCCTGTACCTTTTACACATATTATCGCATTATCTTCTTTCAAGCTTTGGACTGTGTTTTTATTACTCAAAATGTAGTGACACCAAAGCTTTGCGCCATACAGATTTTTTACTTTTGCAGATGTTTGCACCCTGTTCGGATCTCTTTTTAACATTTTCCAAATTATATATTCTCTCATTAACCAAAAGTATCTAAGTTTCATCAAAATCAATTTTTATCATGTAATGCAGTTAAGTGGTAAAGACTAAAGAGTAAAAAAAAATTAAAAAGTTGCCTTTAGAAGACTACCTTGTCTAACCCCATTTTAGAGGCAAAAGCCCCTGTTGCAGTCAAAATGAAATATATTTTCTTTTTTATTGGAAATCAGAACTTTAGTAATCGAGATTTTCATTCGACGAGATTATGACTAATATCTTTGAGTGATACACCATGAAAACGAACGACAAAATGTTCGTCTTGTTAGAATCATATAAATCTTCAATCTTGTCGTTGTGGATGGCTAAAGCCAGAGCTAATCTTATAATGGTTCTGTATTTTTATTGATATGTATTATCCACTTATAGAGTTTTCCATGTGGTGTTAGTGGATAGAAGTATTCGATTTCTGGAGATTTCTGATTCAGAAGTAATTAATTAACCGGCAGCAAATTAAATTCTTGATAACATCCGGATATTGATTCATTTGAACTATTTTACAAATAACGTAATACGGGAATTCCAGGTACAAATCGCCAATATATATAACTTATTTTTTTCATTTTTAACTAATAGATATTTAGATACTAATATCTTCAAAACTCTATATTTCATAAATTGAATCGTTTTGTCTTAAATGATATGATTTTGACTAAAAAATGATTTGTATCTAAATGTTATAAAACCTTCTGGTTTCTGGTTTTTGAAGAAGAAAACAAAAACAATTTTTTTGATAATTATTTTGGGGGAATAAGATTGCACCAATTAAGTGATGAGTGCTGTTCCATTTTCATATGACACAGCCTTCTATCAAGCGTATAAGTTGGCCCCGACCGCGTAAATATACGTTGACTTATTAATAGTCAACTTGGGAGTACTACTGTGCCCTTGTAAATGACCATGATTAGAAAATATTGCATGAGACGACATAGCAAGTTAGGACCTACATTGTGCATTATGTCACATCAAGCGCATGAATTCCTCGTCATTTCTTGGTGAAAATTACTTAGGCGATGCTGTTGATCCGAAACCCTGAATATCGATTTCTTGTTGTTTAATTAATGCAAATGTTCGGCGGTTACATATTATCTATTATAAATTCCGCGAAAATACTAAATTACTTCACTTGCTTAAGCTGTATCTTCTTCCACTCTAGATCTGGGTACAAAAGTAAAGTTTACTAAAACATAGTCATAATTACGACACTGTTTTTTTATTTACGACATTATATCGTAAATCTTAACTTGTTTTGTGTGCCCGTAAAATTTTTCATACGTTTGCTTTTGCTTTTGTGTATGTATCTTCATTTTCTCCTTGATAGGGGGACAGTTTTCCTTGCACTGGTTTTCGCCCTTGTTGTATTTTCTCATTCTTTTTGGGGAGAAACCCCTCTGTGACGGGAAAAACTCACAATTGCAACGTATATAAAAATATCGTTGTCCGGGACCCTTAATAACTTCACACTGCTAATAACCCGTATGGGATCCCCCAGTAAGAGTTTGTTAGGTCATTGACCGCCTTTCCGTGGACCCACTTTTCCAAGCATTCAAAATATAATATTAATACCTCTATCATCGCCTCGTGAGAATACAAATTATAAATCAATGCCTTACCTTGAGAAGTTGTTGTGGTTACATAAAATGTTGCTATGGTGATGCTAAGGCACAGATTCAGCAATGACGTTGAGAGTGTGTTGCCATAGGAACAGACCCGCATCTGAAAATAAACAATACAAATGTTTGATACACTTATACATTTAACAGTATTTTCTAAATATATTATAGTATGGTAAGGTTCAAGTCGACCATGGCGAGGTACTTACCAAGTCAGAGGTCAAACCAACTAAAAAATACATAGCATCCTATTATTAGCTCGGTGCGAGCCTTCGCAAATACGAAATGCACATGCGCGCGCAGCTCATACACGAAACGAAACGCTTTTTAAAGATTCGAACAAAACTATCTCTCACGGTATTGCAAACACAGTAACTTCTAATAGCGTTATTTAACAAGTTCAGAATGACACCGAAATTTAAATCGGTATTAAGATTGAACTCAAGTCAAAGACTAAGCAAAGGATACGTTTATTTCTCCCATTGGGCTCATTTAACCATTATAACAGTGGAATTCTTGGAAGACATAGGCATCTTACCAAGTTGCAGTAAATGATGATGCTAGTTCGGAAAGCAAATAATTTGATCAATCAATTGATGTGCCCCCGGGGAATTGCCGGATTCCAAAAAGGTTTCGCATGGTGTATTTTCGTGTGGATCTCGACATTGTATGTCAACATATCCCTTTCCATTGTATTAGGCTGTAATATTACACATCAAGGTGCTTGATAAAAGACTATTGTGTCTTTAATTTTCATACATTTTCGCATAGATTGTATCTTTACATTTAGCAGAGAAAGTTCAGTATTACCAAATGCCGTAAACAGCCTTTGGGGGTTGTGCCACTGAAAATCACGGAACTTAATGTATTAAACTATTAAAATTCAAAACAGTACATTCTGTTTATCTTAAAAGACAAACAACGTTTGCAATTTAGCTCAGATAACATAAACATGAGAAAAAACTTTTTCCATTCGAATTCCTTGCTTATATTTGCACTTATAATTTGAACAATTGTAACTCCCCTGTGGGTATAAGATATGAATAAAGATGGACGACAGACGGATGGACTGGCTGACTGACAGACGGACAAACTGGCGGACGGATGGCACCACTATATTCCTACCGAACTTTGTTCATTGGGAAAGTAATTGGCATTTGTCATTGTGACTTTGTTCAGTCGAAATGCGGGTAGCTAAAGAGTGTTCAAAGCAATAATTCCATTTTCAAATAAAAATAGAATTCTGAGATGTCACAACTAATCTATCGGAAGATTTGAGGGCGTATTGGACATTTCGCGATATATGAATTGTTAAGGCTGAAACGAAATTAGTTTCGAAGATCAAAATCAAGAAAATTGGAAATCAGTATAATTGCGTTGTATGAATCATTTTAGCGATAATGTTAGGTGACCCATGCACAAACCACGGTGTTAATTCACAGAGAGAGTGGGACATTCTTTATTTGATAACGTACGATCAATCAGAAAACTCTTTGAATCCCTACATTCCCGACAGACTGGAATTATTGAAAATTGGCCACAAATACGTTTAACATGTCAAAACTATTCATATCCTTATTTCATATGGAGTTAAATGGTCCCAACAGTGCGATGAAAAGCATTAACTTAATTGGGATGAAAATAAAATTTAATCATTTTGTACCATTTCAGACTTTATAGCTAGTCTCGGAGCTTTTAAGATTAGTTGACTCTCAACCAAGCAAAGCTTGATGAATTAATACGTAGCAATGAATCCAGGAGACACCCTGGTAGTTTTCAGAAAATGTCCTTGCTACCACATGCGGGCCAGCTAACTAATATAGCTCATATTTGCTCTTAATAAATGCTAACTATTGTTCAGCTCCCGTTTCTATGGTCACGGATGTAGTTTCAGTTCAATTAAACATAGCCCCTTGTATCTGCAAATCTGTCAAACGGTCCCGAAATTGTCCATGCGTTCCAAGGTTCCAATTTGATTGATCCAGATGCTTGGCCACCCAACAGACCCAATGCTAATGTTTTGGGTTACATACATGGAGCCATCTCGAGGAAATGGTGTACAAGCATCCAATAAAAAGTACTGATGAGCTGAAACATGTATTGCAACTGAAATATGTTGATAGATGGCGCTACCACTTGAAGCTTATTGTTGACGCAGAGGGAGGGGGCATGTTAAGCAATTGTTTAAATAAATAATTTAAAATGTTATTAAACAACACTGAAATTCATAAACAATAAGTTTGGTCACACAATGATGCAAATATACAAGCATGCATTCACCTAACACAAAATGATATTCTATGAATAAAAAGTTTACATAATTCCACAGATTTACTGTTTTCTCCCTAAAATCAAGAGACCTTAATAGCAACCCATTCCGTCCCAATAAGTATAATATACCTTTACTATTGATTCTATAACATAGTGTTATATACCACAATTGTTTGAAAATATTTAACCTTTAAAATGATATTACATAAGTCAATGTACCATATTGAAAATAACTATTTTTATCCTGATTTGGGGTATTGGTTTTTGGCCAACCCCGTATATTTCCTTCTTTTCTGTTACTTTTCTCCTAAATTTCTATCTTTTAGAAACAGTTATATATCTTGTCATCTTGATTCAAACAATTATGTAAGATAGTCATATGTAACTTTATACACCCATATGAACATTGATATACACTCCCCTCCATAAGTTTGGCAACCTTTTTTCCCCATTGAACTACGTGTTAAAGCCTCTTTACGTTTGAATTTTTATTTACTTAACCGGCGATGAAATAACTTAAACTATTGATGGAAACGTAACTTGACTTTAATTCCAATACCACCAAATTTTCTCAATTTTTTTCCTCAATTACAATAGGTCGAAAATTGATGATAAATTTGATGAATTTTTGAAAATCGTCATTCCCATGTAATCCAATGGGAAATGGAGGGTTCGGGGCAAATCAGAAATCAGGATATCTTTTCAGTAAAAGATTCAGCAAAAAATATTTTTATATAGAAAATTGAATTGTCTATTCTTTTTTGAACACTAAGTGTTTAGTTTATTTGATGAATATTAAAGTTACAGCGCTTCAAAGTCATTTTTGAAAAAAAAATTCGCCTCCTGTGTTATTTCAATGGGAGAGGTTTTTTGAAAAACAATTTTGACTTTAAAGCCCTATAACTTTGTTGAACCTGAAGAAACATATAAGTTTTTGTTAAATAAAGTTAGCAAATTCAATTGCCTGCCTAACTCGTATTTTTGCAAGGACTCGGATGGATGGATATTCTGTCATATGACTTGCGGCAAACCTACCATTTCTCATTGGTTAACATGGGAATGTCGATTTTCAAAAATTCATCAAATTAATCATCAATTTTCGACCTATTTCCATCAATAGTATAAGTATTTTCATCGCAGATTAAGTAAATAAAAATTCAAAGGTAGAGAGGCTTTAACACGTAGTTCAATTGGGGGAAAAAGGTTGCCACTCTTATGGAGGGGAGTGTAACTATCTTTCTGTCTTTTAAAAACAGTTTTATATCTTGTCATCTTGATTAATGCAATTATGTAATATAATCATATGTAACTATATACACCCGTGTGACCATTGATATAACTATTTTTCTATCTTTGAAAAACAGTTTTATATCTTGTCATCTTGATTAATACAATTATGTAATATAAGCATATGAAACTATACATCGATCCGTATGGTTGTAAGTTGCTTGTACACTGGGTATTGATATAAATAAAGCTACAATTCAAACTATAAAATTAATAGTATTCATCCACTGCACACACATTTTGAGTGCTTTAGAATGTGTATAATCAATTACCTTTTATATTTTTATATTAACCTAATGATACGTCACATATGGTACGCAAAAACCACGATGGACAAGGTGTAAAGGAATAGTATGAAGCCCTAAATCAAAAAAAGAATTTCTCAAGCATACAACGAAACAGAGATATACTGGCCATATTTAAAGTACAAATACGACAGACTTGCTATTTCTATATGATATCTATACATAGATAGTTGTGTTTATGTTATCCCAGCTAGAACCAAGAAATAAAGATTCGTATTGCCATGGTAACCATCCATCATTGCAACAATATACTTCTGTTTCAACCAAAGAATTCTAGAAATGTTTGAAATAGTGTTTAATCAAAACGGAACATGTTTATGCTTAGCTTCAATCACGTTTTATTATTTTCCAATCAATTGTTGCAAATTAATAGAAAGAAGTTTTTTTCAAAAACGGTGAAAACTTGTTTAACACTTTATTTTGATAGTTGGATACTCAGACACAGTTGTTTAGACAGCTGGTTTTGGCATCTTAGTTAAAACCCAGCCAGAACATCAAAATATTGTGATCGAGATAAGAAAATCATTTAGCATTTTCTGTCAATATTATTCGCAAGTCCGGTAATGAATAAATTGATACATAGATTGAACATCGTTCCTTCTATCGTTTTTGTAATATGATGTCAATTTGGCTAATAAAACGAACACGCCAGGAACTATAAAATAGACTAGAAATTGTTAATTCCAAGGGGTATATTTTCCCAAGTGAGTATCTTAGTTAGGATATCATTTTTTGTATCCATCTAATCATGGCTATTTTTGTTATATGAAACGGTATTTTCTTGTCTGCTTACGGGCACGAAGCATGAGGGGCAATTTCCCCCCACCCCTACCCCAAGAAGAAAATTTACATTGAGAAAATAGTACAGATTTCCTCATTTAAACAATGAAAATTAAATCTTGTGATAATAATATCCCATTTGAACTCTCTTTTGCCTTGAACCTATCATAAGTTGAACCTGGCTAGACTTGTAATATACACGCATGCTAAAATTGAAATAAAAATCAATGAAAAGGAAGATTCCTTTTTAGATGTGTGTTATCTATTCGAATGGAAGATATTTGGTCAGTGGTTTCTCGTATGAGACATTGTCGCAGTCTCTTTCTGTTCGATAAAGATAAACCCTTATGTTTTGCAGTCATGCAACAGCTTTATATGGGAGGCATATTGCTGATCACAGACTTTTTCATGAAATAGTCATTGTAATTTATCATTGGTTGTTTGATTGTATCACGTGATT